TCTCCACCACATCCGTCCTCATCGACAGCTCCACCGGCCGCCGCATGTCCTACTCTCTTTTTCTCTGCCAAATTCGTTCCCTCGCCCTCTCTCTCCTCCGCTCTCTTTCTATCTCTAAACACCACTCCACCACTGCCTTTCTCCTCTGCCCCACTGAGAATGATATGGGGAGAGGGAGGAGGCTGATGCCTTGCACGATTCCACCGACAACCCAGCCCTTAGAACAATGGAGACCAGAGATGAGGGAGACCGTCGAAGAGGGGGAGTAGAGGAAAGAAAGTTAAAATGAAAATGGGAAAATGAGACCAAGGAAGAGATTGACACGGAAAAAAATGAAAATGAGAAAATGAAAACAAACTTAAATCGTTTTCAGAATTTCTGCATTTTTGGGAGAGGGTCAGAAAACATTTTCATTTTTATTTTTTGTACGATGCGGCACCAAATAATGTCCTTAAACTATTTTCGTTTTTTGGTCCTCGAAAAAACGTGAAAAACATTTTTGAAAACGGAAACAAACACACCCATAGATTTTAAATAAACCTAAAACACATTGTATGAAAATATAAATATCCCATGAAAGAATGATAACTTATAACTAGTACAATAACTTAGATTAGAGTTTATGTCCTTAGTCGTATTCTATAAAAAAAAAATCCAAACAATATATGTGTAATCAATATGTATCTTATTATTAGTCAAAACAAAAGATCATTGATATTTTATTAGTACCATTGCTATCTTATAAACATAAATTAATTACTTGGTTTTTTTCTAATATTGATGGGCTCTCACCTAATCTTACAACTAATAACGCCAAGCAATTAGAAATGGCTAAGTCCAAAGATAAAGCATGCACTTCAAGTGTGTGTGTATATGGTCTATATATATATATATATATATATATATATATATGGGTCCATCTAAATTCAATTGGAAGTTGGTTGGTTGCTTCTGTAACCCTATAGGGAAACTTCATTTAATATATCTTATGATTTTACATGCATACGCACGTTTCAAAAAGCATATTATATATGTATGTAAACTACAATTATGTAAAACAAAAACTTAGAGGTCAACAGCTGTAATGCATGCATGGATAAGCTTTTTTCTTTTTCGTTAGATCGGAATTTCTCTTATCACATGCACAATGTAAGTGGAGAGCCCCATGGTCAATGTTGTTTTCCTTTCGGATTCAGATTTTTTTTTTTTTTTTTGTGGGTCCAATTTTAATGTAGTCTCATTTTCTCCACTAATTAGTGCTTCCAACATACATCCCACATCGTGACCCTGTGTTAATCTTTCAAATTAATATACTCGGTAACTAATTTCTTAAATTGATGTAGAAAATGAGATAGACAAAAATTTCTATTCTTTTCTTTCTTACATTTTAGCTTTTGTTAATTTATTTTTAGGCGCATTTATGGTGAAAAATGCTAGTTTGTCGATCCATTAACAGAAACTATTTTTTGACTTTTGAATTAGTTTTTTAACATTTTGAGCTGAGATAGGAGCATTCTTGTATTGCATGTTGTGAATTTTTAATAAGAGATCAAATTGTTAAAACTAATTTAATAATTAAAAACAACAATTCTTATCGCGGTAGAACAAAAATGCATGTCTTATCACGAAGGTTGCATTTCATTTTCTGTTTTTTCTAGCAAGGTTTATTGTTATTAGGTATATATCGATCAATTTTCAGCTGAAAATGTTATGAATATAGTGATTTTTAGCAGAATATTAGGTTTGGCCGCTTGGCTTCCACACATACATGTGTGTGTAAGAATCAGACTATAAGCTGACATGGCAAACTCTATATTATTATGATCTACACACTAATATTATAATTAAACTTCACTATATATATGCATAGCATTTGCTTCCACATGGCACCATTTAGCACGTATATATTACTTATTGGTACCTCATAAGAGTGTGTGTATATATGCATATACATATATATATATATATATATATATATATATATTGTGTGGTATTAAATATTGAACCAATTGAATGATCGATACTCAACTAGAACCCACCAAAATGTCAACTAGCTAGCTAGCTAGAATATAGCTAGCTAGCTAGAATATAGAAGGTAGACTATGACTAGTATTTAGCTAGGTTTGAAAATGCATATTTAAGCTATAAGCCATGCTAGGATAGGTATAATATTTTTAATTATAGAGTTGAGGATCTAATTATCTACAGTACGGAGAATGATTAAGTTAAAGAATTCTTTCATTCTGATTCGGCTATATTCATTCCTTTTTCCCCTTTTGCCCATGGCCTTAATATACAAAAGTTTTAACTTTACAAGATGGGAAAGGAGATAAATATAGGTTTAGATTTTTACCACTTAATTTTTATTTTTGATTAATATTATTTTAGTTAAATAATTATATCAATTAAAAATATATTAATTAAAAGTAAGAGATAAATATTTAAATGTATGCACTCTAAAAGTAAATTCAGTAATTTTCTCTTACAAAAGGATTTTTTTATTTAGGGGAAGGACACACGCAAGAATGATTCAAAGTATAATCAATCTAACTTATTTCAAAACAAGACGATAATACCCTTTAAATCCTTTGAGAGACATAAAAATTTTATGCTGAATGCTATTGTATATGAAATATCAATTTGCTTTAAGCATAAAAGAAGAACCAAATCTACTTTGGTTCTGAGTGGATTACATATCTAATTGAGTAATTACGTATACAATTAGGGGTATCATTTTAAAAGACAAGCATATCCTGATTCGACATAATCTAACAAATGTCGAATAATTAACTATCAAAACAGCCAGTCAAAAACGGTGTGTGAAAAAATGAATGGCCGTAAATGTGATATGACTCAAACTTTATCAACTCTATATCTAGACAAGATCAAGAATAATATTGTTTATTTGGATGTACTTACCAGATCACTTATATAGTGGCAAAGCACTATATATTATACAGACATGCGTACACATTAATTACATTTACTAGATGAGTGTTTTAGCTTTAATACGTAATGTCAGATTAAATTAATGGCTCTTACAATATTTTGAGTTTTTTTTTTTTAAATACAATCGATTGGGTTAAATGGCGGCTGTTACAATCGCTAAATTATATATAGTCCTATAGTAGAACTTTACGATCTTTTTTTTTTTTTTTTTTTGTTATTAGAGTGTAAGTATAGTATATACTTTAGATCTCATCACCAAACCAAGTAAACTATAAAGCAAGAAATTTCTTCATTAGCATTTCTACAACTATATTAACATATATAAGAACTGATTTCCCTAGAAAGTAACACTTGGGCTGTGTTAGGGTGTCAGGACACGATTTATGTGCGTTTGGAGCAAGGATCCGTGCCATGATTTGGATCATAGTTCGTGGTTCGCTACAGTTTTTCTCTCACAAAAAACACACCTAAACCGAGAATAATTCTGAATCATTATTCTAAATTTATAAACCAAACATCCCCAACTTGATACATTATTTATACGCATCGTGCCGATACGTAAGTCCCTATATATTGACCAATACCCTTATACGCCGTGGCATGCCTTATATGCTAATTATAATCCGCCATTGAACTAATTATCAATTTTAATATTAGTTTTTATTATTTGATCTTTTAAGACAAAAATTCAAATACAAATAAGAAAAATAATATGGGAGTTCTTAAAAATAACACTAGATCAAACAATTAATACAAAGAATTGAACATTTTTTCATCATTACATCTCAAGTGATTCAATATTTTATATTCTTTGTCCTTTTGAACAAAAGTGTATATAATTGCCAAGTGTTGTATTGTCTTTGTGTGTTATGTTGATTCGTGCTTGGCACAACGTGTTTAACGCTTAAAGCTTAGCACGACCATGCAATTAGATTAGCATGCCGTGTCATGCTTGATTGTGTGTTGTGAGGAAAATAGAAAGGAAGGGAGAACGTTATTAATATTATTATTATGTTCCGCATGTATTCTTCTCTACACATTTAAAGAGAACAAATTTTAAAGGATTTGAAATCCTTTACTCAATTCATTTCCTGCTCATTTCTCTCCCATCAGACAACCGTAAGTCTCAAATCTTTTCACTAATTCCCCCTTTCCTCTTCTATTTTTCCCTCCTACCAAACTAAATACCTACTAAAAGTAGAATTATCTAAGGGTCTATTTAGTTCACTGATTTGAGTTTTTAATTCGAGTTAAGATGTGACTTTATGTGAGAATTTTTTACTGTAGCTAAAAAGTTAGATGTGACTGTTTCTGAGAGCTTTTTACTGTAACAAAACTCGAATCGGTGAAATGAACGGGGCCTAAAACACTTAATAATAGGTTTGTAATATCAAATGGTCATATATATTATACTCCTATAGTGAGTATAGTCCGCAAATCTCTTGACACAATTTAGAAAATTTTGATTACAAAAGTATCCACCCCCAGTAATAGAATTTAAAAACAAACAAAAGAAAATCTACTTCCTTTCCACCAGGATCAAAATAGAAACACAGCTGGGCTGGGAATTGAAATGAATAAAAATTGTTTTGAGACCAAAGAAATTAGGAAAGTTAGGCTGAGCTGCATGCCAAAAGTCAGCCACTTCATCCTACCATATTCAAATATTTCAATATCATTATTTTTGCGTTTATTACATGTTTTCAAATTTCAGTAATATTAATGCAAGGAAAGAGAGATCAAAGAAAACCCCACCACCAAAAGAGTTGGTCCTAGGAAAGAGGACAAAGCAATATTACAGTTGAACCCACAAAAAAAAAAAAAAAAAAAAAAAAAAAAGAGTTTTTGAGTGGAAATGGTAATCTTGTCCCTACCAGCCCGTGAGCTGACTGAATTAATCCTTGTCAACGGTTTCAAAATAGCCAGTTCTCCGGATTCACAAAACCGATCCCGGTTTTCTCAAAAACTTGCCACTGTTTTTATTAAAACCCCTTAATAACTTTCCACTATATATATCCCCCTCCACAGAAACCTTTTTCTCAACTATCCCCCAACTTGCTCATTTTCATTCCCTTTAAATTCTCCACAATCCCTTTTATTATTCTTTTCTTTAAGGTAAAGTATATCAGAACAACAACAACAACAACAACATGAAATATCTTTCCCTTCTTCTTTTGTCTATCAAAAGCTTTAATTTGACTTATGCCGTACAACAACTTGTTGAATAGTTACATATGTATATATATATATAATTTCATTTCATGTTTTTCTTGCTTCTTTCGCAGGTTTGATTTCCATGTCTCCAACAATGGTAATGACTACTCGTGATTTTGAAAGCCAGGTGCCAGCCTCCCCCTACCAGAAAGGAGTACAACACTTGTACGAAAGGGGCGTGAGTAAAGTACCTGACAAGTACATTTTGCCTCTTCAAGATCGACCCAACAATGTTAATGTTGCACTCAAAAATGAAGCAAGAATCGCCAAGAGTACTAACAATAATCTAAAGCTGCCCATCATAGATTTTGCCGAGTTGCAAAGCCCCAATAGGAGGCCACAAGTCCTCGAGTCCTTAGCCAATGCTTGTGAACAATATGGATTCTTTCAGGTATATATATCCCGTTTATTTCCCGATTTTGAACACAATTCAAATCTTTTTATAAGTAGATAAACATATAACTCACACACTACACTCATCAATGTTTGAACCCTGGTCAGACACCCATACACGGCCTGTTTATTTCGCAGTTTTGAACACGATTCAAACAGTTTTAGTACGGTATTTTTCTCACAAAAATTTAAATTTTTACACCTATTTTAGTGATTTTGATCCTAATATCTTGGAGACTTATCGATGAAAATTGCGATCTTGTGTTAATGAAGTTGGTAAACCACGGCATTCCAAGTGATGTGATAGGCAACATGATAGACGTGAGCACAAGGTTTTTCGAGCTTCCATTTGAGGAGAGAGCAAAATACATGTCCTCGGATATGAAATCGCCTGTCAGATATGGAACAAGCTTCAACCAAAACAAGGACAAGGTCTTTTGTTGGAGGGACTTTCTCAAGCTAATTTGCAATCCCAGCTTGTCGGATGTCCTTTCTCATTGGCCTTCTTCTCCCGTGGACTTTAGGTGAGGGAGACTTATTAATTTATTGGTTCACCTCTAAATATTTATTTATTTATTTTTATTTATTTATTTTTTATTTCCATCCATCTTCTTGGAAGCCTGTTATTAGATATTGTGACCTCCAAATTAATGGCTGTCCTATGCTTGTGGGGATTAGCTAGCTAGCTAGTAGCTAGTTTTACTTCTACTTTTTTTTTTTTAATATTTAAGATCAATTAAACATATATATATATATAGTCAATAGTATTGAATGGTTTCTTATTTATCTTCATGCAATTGGTCATGAGAACGCGTTAGTTGTAGGTATACTTACTTTGAGTTACCTATAAGCTTTTTGTTTAAAGAGTCTTGAAAAATGCACAGATTAGGACTTTTGCTTTTTATTTTTAATTCATAACCTTTTTAGTTAAATAATTATATTAACAAAATGGTATTTATCAAGAATAAAGGGTAAAGATCTAGGCTCATACACTCTTAAAAAGTAAATTCTCCATTTTCTTTTTTTTTAAATATTAAAGATCTTTTTAATTATTTAGTACACTATTTTTGTGTCCAATAATTAAATTTCATTACAATTCCTGATAAATATTGGATTGGTTTCAAACAATTTGCTTGTTTTTATTCTGGTCAATGATTGGAGGACTTTATTTAATTGCTTTATTTTATTCTTAAACAGGAATTTGGCAGCTACCTACGCAAAAGAGACCAAATACTTGTTCCTAATGTTAATGGAGGCCATTGTGGATAGCTTGTTAGGGATTAATGTAGGAACCACAAAGGAACACAAGAAGACAAAAGATCAGGAATTGGAAGAAGACAAAAACAATAATAATAATAATAATAATAATAATAATAATAATAATTCCAATAACAATATTATGAAGAAATTCCAAGATGGAAGCCAGCTAATGGTTGTCAATTGCTATCCACCTTGTCCCCAACCTGATCTAACCCTAGGCATGCCTCCTCACTCCGACTATGGATTCCTCACTCTTCTCCTCCAAGACCAAGTTGAAGGTCTTCAAATTCAGTTCCAAGACAAGTGGGTCACCGTCGAACCGATCCCGGGTTCTTTCGTCATAAACGTCGGCGACCACCTTGAGGTAATTAATTAGTACTAAATTTAAACTTACAATTAATTCACTACTAATGTAACACTTAATTATGGTATACATCATATTATTATGTAATGTGTATTATAAGCTTTTTATGTAGTTGACTTTGGTTTTCTTGGAATTGGTGAACAGATATTTAGCAATGGGAGATACAAGAGTGTGTTACATAGGGTTCTAGTGAACTCAATGAGAGCTAGGATTTCAATTGCTTCGTTGCATAGTCTTTCCTTTGATTGCATGGTTTCGCCGTGGTCTAAACTCATCGATGAAACGAATCCAAGGCGTTACAAGGACACAGATTTTGCAAGCTTCTTGGAGTACATATCTTCCTGTGAGCCTAAGAGGAAAAACTTCCTAGAGACTAGGAAATTGACTTGAGGCAGTAGTGTGGAAAATAGAAATATTGGGGGAGAGTGGTGGAAAAAAAAAAAAAAAAAAAAAAAAAAAAAAAAAAAAAAAAAAAAAACAGGCAAGTGGAACGTTGACCTTTATAGTACAAAAAATGTAACAATTATTAATTAGTTGTGGGGTTATTTTTTAATGAGTCAAAGACTCTCTCAAGTCTAAAACCTCAGCTGCTCCCTAATACCTTGTTCTTACTTCTTAAAACGATAGCTTTGACAATTGGGTAATGAGAAATATTAACACCACTATTTTTGTCACTTTTTTTATCACTTTTTCCCTTTTAATTTAGCGCGTAACATGACAGTAAATGTGACGATTTTTGCACAGCGAAAATAAAAGAGTAGTAAGCTTTTGAGCTAAAAACTATATGAATTTTATTGAATAACTGAATGAATGATGAATGTTCCATAAAAAGCCACGGAGTACAAAATTTATAGATATTTTCTATTTGAATCCTAATAGAATTAAAACTAATAGTCAAGATAAATGATAATCCTCATCCTAAACACATTCAAATTTTAATACGATAAATCCAAAATAAAATTAAAATGTAATACTAAACTAAAAGATAAATCCTAAATAAAATAAAATCCATAATTAAATACCATCTTACATTAGAATGTAGAAAGTGACAAAAAGAATGACAAAAAGGTGACATTTAACATTATTCTTGTGTAATAAGGCCATTCCATAGTGAAGCAAAATATCTAGATTGCACTATTAATAGGTACAAAATGATATGAAAAGACTACAAACTTCTATAGTGTTTTTTTTTTTTTTTTTTTAAAGGACTTCTTGTAGTGTATTAGACCGTCTTTCCATACTTCGTTTTTTTTTTTTTTCCTTGACCAATTCACGTGGTAAATAACTTGAAGTTAAAAGTAATCAATCCGAGAAAAAAAAAACAAAAATGGCAATCAATTAATTACCACGCGTTAGACTATGCAAATTAATGATAATGGTAATTAAATGTACTTAAAAGAATATAAAGGCAAATTAAACTAGTTAAAACTAGCATTAAAGATCGTAAGTTTTGAATACCAATTCTCCTATGAGCGAATTGTCATCTTTTTTTTTTTTTTTTTTTTTTTTAACTTGAAATAGAGGAATTTGAACTCGACACAATATAGTGGAGTCAATATGTACGAAATTATCGCTAGATTACACCTGCAACCATGAATTGTCATCTTTTTATGTATGCAATATTTCAATGTTAATTCACATAAAAATTACTTAAATACCTATTAATAAAAAAAATGACAATTCACACGATACATATATGATGTACATAATATACATGTACAATATATATATATATGTAGAAGATGATTTTGACAAAAAAAAAAAAAAAAAACATGAATGCATTTTTTTTTTTTTTTTTGAGATGCACATGAATGTATATCAAATATATATGTACACAACAATGAAAATATATGATGCGCGTTGAATTATGAAACATACGGTATAATTATTCTTCATGATCATTTCTATTTGCTTGTTAAAACATTATTAATTATTTGTTTCGTCATTTTATATACAAACGACTTTCTTGAAAGGTATTTGTGAAGACAGTGAGAAAACTTCGAAAACTCAGAAAGCTTCAAATCCATGTGCTAGGTACGTACGGACAATCTATGTAAATTAAACTTGGTCCAATAAAATTTATTCTAATATAAAAGGTTTTAGACGAAGTCTAAGTCGACTATTTTTTAATTCAGTCACTAAGATGACCGCACTGCCTCTTACTTGGAAATTTCTAAAATTTAATTAGTTTGATATAGCAATTAACTAAAATAACAACAGTTGAGTCTCTTTTGTCTTTGAATTATAAATAAAATAAAGGGATATGTAAGTAACCAATTACTATGAAAGGATAAGTAAACGAAAAGAAAATACATGTAATTTCCAACTAATTGATGATGACATATAGGTGATTTAATTGAAATAAACATTTTATAAAAAGGGAGCTGAAAATCTTGTTTCTTAATAACAACTTAAGTAACTATCATTCCCTTTACCTGTCCTATAGGCTAGAATCATTATAAATAGTTGCATCAAGAGCTTTACTCTGGTAGGCCTTTCTTAACGTCAATTTTTAATCGTTGAATTTTGTCAAAAAATATACTGAACGAACAGTTTCTAACAGCTGAAAACATTTCGGTAGTTACTTTTTCAGTGCTTACTAGAGAAATTCTCTGGCATCGTTCATTTCACCGATTTGAGTTTTCAGTTTTAGGTTTCTATAGTAAAAAGTTCTCAGAAAATGTCGCAAAGCTCTCAAAAATGTCACATCTCAGCTCGAATTAAAAATTGAACGAGGTTTAATTAATTTGTTAGTTTCGACTTTTCAAGCAAAAAGTGTAGAAAAACGTTTTTCAAACTTCTTGGTGGGGACTAGGGGCTGCGAAGTCTAATGGCTTCAAAGAAAATCACATTTGAGTTTTGAATTTCAAGCCTAAGATTGAAGCCGCCCTAATCATCTAGTTGAGATATGTTGAATTTCTCTGTGGAAAATTTTGCTTCAGATGTATGTGGAAACATGTGCTTGACTTTGGAGTTAAAAGTCTATAATCAAGGCAGACCCGATCAATATTGACCAAAACGACCGTCGTTTGCCTTGTATTGACTGGCATTGTGATGTTTTCGATCACAGTCCACCCCAAAAGAAGGACAACCCGTCAGCGGCCCAATAAGATTTGCCCAGCCAGCCTCATGTTCCATTCAATCACAAAGGACTGCCATTTTTCTTGATTTTTTTTTTCCCTTCTTACTTTTGGCCTTTTAGAAAAGCAGCCTTCTAATGGAGATTTCTTTTTGTTTTATTATAGACAAGGGACAACATTATGGTAGTAATTTGGCAGCTGTGTATAATTCAAGAATTAAAAATATCTGGTGGCTAAATTCAACTTTTTTATGTGGGAGATCATGTTCATGTATCAAAATTGAGAAAAGTTAGCAAAAAAAGTCGCCCACATTTTGAAGGAAATGCTTTTTATTCATTTCCATTTGAAAGAAAAGGAAGTATGAGATTTGAAAATGTACACGCGAATTAAGTTCATGTACCACTTAAAAAAATAAAAAATAAAAAAAGGGGAAAGCCTGGAAATGATCATGCTAGGCATGCCTATAGAACTAATGAAAGGGTAATTTTTTTTTTTTTTTAAATGATACTTTTAATGAGTTAAGTATTTAAGGAGATAGAATATATAATTTTTTTTATGTAGTCTTATATTTTCTAATGGAATTCCTTTTATTAGGACATTTATGCGGAGAGTGCTCGGGAAATAGTAGAAAATATGTCAATATGAAAAGTTTAAGAAAGTATATAGGCTAATTTTTAGTTATATAAATTAATAGGCCATAACTTGTTAAGTTATGGTTCATAACCAGATAAGTTATGGACAAACTTGTCAAGTTATGGTTCATAACAAGACAAGTTATAGACAATAACTTGTCAAGTTATGGTTCATAACCAGACAAGTTATAGACGAAAATAGTAATTTGGCATATTTATTAACTTTTGTAAACTATTGACCTATTAATTTTAACGAAAATAGTAGAAAATAGGTCAATATGAAAAGCTTAAGGAAGTATATAGGTCAACTTTTAGTTATAGAAATTAATAGGCCATAACTTGTCAAGTTATGGTTCATAACCAGATAAGTTATGGACAAACTTGTCAGGTTATGGTTCATAGCCATATAAGTTATGGACAAAAACTGTGATTTATGGACAATAACTTGTCAAGTTATGGTTCATAACCAGACAAGTTATGGACGAAAACAATAATTTGGCCTATTTATTAACTTATGTAAACTATTAGCCTATTAATTTTAATTCATCTCAACTCTTAGCCTATTTCTCTCTTTCTCCATAATTTTAATTCATCTCAAGTCTTGATCTATTTCTCTCAAAGTGCTCTAAAAAGATGTGGCTTGGGCTAAGATGCAAAACTAATTGGGCTTGGGCCTTAGTTAGTGGGCATTGGGTGGGTTGAGTGAACGTAGTCTTAGGATTTTGAAAGAAAATAAAAGAGAGAATTATTCAACTTAAGATTGTATGAGAGTTGATTTTTATAGTCTTGGGATTTTGAAAGAAAATAACAGAGAGAATTATTCAACTTAAGATTGTATGAGAGTTGATTTTTATCTTTTATCTTTTATTAATATCTTTTTAACTAGTATAATTATATGATTAGAAGTATATTAATTAAGAATAAAAAATAAAATTTTAGACTCATGCATCTAAGTATTTATCTCCTTTCTTCTAAAAGAAAGTTAAGAAGAAAAACGAAATATTAACTGAAAAATTGGATGGTGCTCAAGCTGATATAGAAAAATCTTGGTTTCAGTCACCAATGGAGTATAAAAATCTTATGAGCACCGACTGATCAAGCAGTGTTGGGTGGTTCCATTTTTGCCAACAGACAACATCGGTTACTACTCTACAACGATTTCAGTTATGTCGCTAAGTTAAATTCAATTATTAGGTTTTGTTCGTTTTTGCAGATTTAAATTTTTAATTCGAGTTAAGATGTGAATTTTTTAAAAAATTTCACTGTAACAAAAAAAAATTAAATATGACATTTTTTGAGAACTTATAATTATAAAAATTTAAATTGAAAACTCGAATCGATAAAATGAATGAGACCTTAGTCTTTTTGTATATTCCTATCTTGGAATTAGAATTTTTACAACTCAAGTCCCCTTACCCAACCCAACCAACCCATTAGTATTAGATTTGGCAAATTGATTTTTGGGGATCTTGTGGACTAAATCTAGGATTTTGGACTCTTTAAGGCTGATTTTTGCATTTAATCTCATAAATTCAGTTAAAATGAAAATAAAGATAATATAAAATAGTTCAATAAACTAAATTACAACATCACAATCTATTGTAACAAGCTAACTTCAACCAAACTAGCGGGAAATTTCAAGGATCGTCGCGGGTTCCAAATTCTAATGGGATTCCTGCTGTACTAGTTAGTAAATGAAGGTCCCGTTTTTTTTTTGTTTATTTGAATTTAGAATTTAAATTTTACTACAGTAAAAATCTCTCAAAAATAGTCAAATTTAATTTTTTTATTACAGTAAAAAGCTCTCACACAACATCATATCTCAATTCGAATTAAAAACTCGAATTAACGAACTGAACGTGCCTGAATTGAATATCAATGGCTGTGACCCATCGGATAGAAGACCAAGAATTTCAGTACGTGTCATGCTTTGTCAGTTCTAAGAGCAGCTGGACACAATCTGAAAAATTACGGGGTTGTTCTTTTGGAGTGTAACTTGAGTGTAGTTTTTGAGTTGAATTTGAGTTATAACTTGAGTTGAAGTTAGAACTTGAATAAAGTTAAGTAAAATTGAATAAAGCTGAAACTTAAAAAAACATGAACTTAAAAAAATTTGAAACTTGAATTTTTTTTTTTTTTTTTTTTTTTTTTGACAAAAGAACATGCCGAACAGAATTCGGTCGGCCTTAACAATGGACCTAATATATGGGTAATGGACTGATCCGTTTGTCTGGATCCATATTTAGAACTGCATGCATTAATAAATAATAGATTTATAAAATTAAATTAATTAAATAACATATTTTAAAATTATTTAAAATAAATAATAATTTATTATGTAAATTTTTATTTATAATTAATAACAAATAATTTGCATAATAAAAAATCTTTATTTACATAAAAAAAAATCTTTTTATAGTAAAAATATTTTCATTAATTAGAACATTTATACAAAAAACACATATTTACTTTAAATAGTTTTAAAATTTATTATTTACTTCAATTATTTATCATAAATTTGTTATTGACTTTATTTTCTTAAATTTTTATTCTTTTCTTCTTTAAAATTATTCGACCAAGCACCTTTTAAGTCCCTGCTGGTCATGATAAAGGATAAGTAATCACCTCATTATTAGATAAAACGCTTTGCAACCAAAAAAAAAAGAGAGAGAGAAAATCATATCATTTTTTGTGATAAAGAGAAAATCATATCATTTACCATCACACAGCTTCATTGATTACATAGCTTTCTTTTAATTATCACAATTTTTTTTAGGGAGAAAGAGAGAAATATGTTAAAATTTGAGATTAATTAAAATTAATAGGTTAATAGTTTACATAAATTAATAAATATGTTAAATTATTATTTTTGTTCATAACTTGTCTGGTTATGAACCATAACTTGACAAGTTATTGTCCATAATTCATGATTTTTGTCCATAACTTATCTGGCTATGAACCATAACTTGATAAGTTTATTCATAACTTATCTGGTTATGAACCATACCTTGATAAGTTTATCCATAACTTATCTAGTTATGAATCATAACTTAACAAGTTATGACTTATTAATTTTTATAACTAAAAATTAGTCTATATACTTTTTTAAACTTTTTATATTGACATATTTTCTACTATTTCTGTTTTTTTTTTTTTTTAATGACGTTACCGCTCAAAAGCCTTACACGGTAGATTTAAAACATATATATATATAGTATTTTTTTATTAAAAAAAAGAAGAAAAGAAAAATAGTTATCTTTACCCAATCCACACACACGAGCACAGTTCCAACAAGACGGAGCTTGTTGGGTCACTTGAACAAACGACAATGGATAATGCAAGTAAAACACAGAGATCACAAAAACAGAGACTCTCTCTCTATCTCTCTCTCTCTCTCTACAAATGTCTCTCTCTCTCTCCTTCTCTTCTTCCCTCTCCATCCTCTCACCTCCACTCCTAAAACCCACCTCCATATTTGCCACCACAACTCCTCTCCACTCTCTCTCCGTCAAATCCTCCATTGACAAGGACCCCGCTTCCACTTCCAATCCCAAGCCCAACACCACAAAACCCAGCTCCTGGGTCAGCCCCGACTGGCTCACCTCGCTCACTCGGTCCCTAACCATCGGCAGAGACGAGGACTCGGGAATCCCCATAGCCAGCGCCAAGCTCGACGACGTCTCCGATCTTCTCGGCGGCGCTCTGTTCCTCCCGCTCTTCAAATGGATGAATGATTACGGACCCATTTACAGGCTCGCCGCTGGGCCCAGGAATTTCGTCGTCGTCAGCGACCCCGCCATTGCCAAGCATGTTTTGAGAAATTATGGCAAGTACGCCAAGGGCCTTGTTGCTGAGGTCTCTGAGTTTCTTTTCGGGTCGGGTTTCGCCATCGCAGAAGGCTCGCTTTGGACGGTAAAGATTCGGGGTTTTTTTTGTTTGGCTCCTCTTTTCAAGTAGTGAATGGATAGAGTGCCAGTACGAAATTAGTGTGTCAATGTTAAGTTTTAGCATTTGAGTAGGAAATATTCTTCACTTGAGTGTGCTTTTTGGCGGTAAATGTTGGCACAAATATGGCATATGCTAAGCTCCCGTTTATTTTATCGATTTGAGTTTAGAATTTAAATTTTACTAGCAGAAAGAATCCCATCTAATTTATTTATTACAATAAAAAATCCTCATATAAATCGCATCTAAACTCGAATTAATAACTCAAATTAGTAAACTAAACGAGTCCTAAATTTAGACACTTAATTGCTATTAATTAGTGTGTTACTGCGTTAGCTTTTTCCCTTAATCATTATGACGTTGCTATTTTCAAGTTATTTCAAAATTGTTAAATTTTTACTAGTTTCAAAGTTTAAAAATTACGACAAAATGTATATATGACCGGACGAATTAAAGATGTGTATGTCATTTTTATATGTTTTTAGTAGTACATATTCATTGGTATTTACATTAGCATACTTAATCTTTTGAGGTTTGAGGAAAAAGCTCAATTTTTTTTTTTTTTTTAGTGTAGCTAAACGAGACACATTTCTGTTGTGAATGTGATGCTTATTTTGCTGTTTTATAGATTGAATTGATTGTCTTGTGAGTTTTAGAAAAATGTTCAAAGATCCTTGCAGGCCAAAATATACCTTGTTGATGATATGATCCGCTTGATATTTCATTTACTCTCTTTATTTGAGCATGAATATCTGATTCATCATAGGCAAGGCGCAGGGCTGTGGTTCCATCTCTTCACAAGAAATACTTGTCCGTGATAGTCGACCGTGTGTTTTGCAAATGCGCTGAAAGGTTGGTGGAGAAGCTGCAAGCCAGTGCACAAGATGGCACTGCCGTGAACATGGAGGAAAACTTTTCTCAGTTGACGCTCGATGTTATCGGTCTCTCGTTATTCAACTACAATTTTGATTCTCTTGCTGCTAATAGCCCTATTATTGATGCGGTTTACACTGCATTGAAAGAGGCGGAGGCTCGTTCCACAGATATATTACCATATTGGAAGGTGACTACTCTAAATTCTCTTACAATTCTTTGTTTCCTTTTAGTGTTGATAATTAGGTTATACTTCTATTCTTGTGGCAGATTAAAGCTTTGTGTAAAATAATCCCTAGACAAGTAAAAGCTGAACAATCAGTTACAGTTATCAGGGAAACTGTTGAAGAACTTATTGCTAAGTGTAAAGAGATTGTTGAAGCTGAAGGTGAACGGATTGACGAGGAAGAGTACATAAATGACGCTGATCCCAGCATTCTTCGGTTCTTGCTTGCCAGTAGAGAAGAGGTCTTGCCGTGCTTTGACTTGAAATATAATTAACTCGTTTCTTCAATCTGAACTTTACCTGATGTTCAAAATCAATCTTTCACGTCTAGTTCTAACCTGAAGTCTCAATTTCTCTCAGGTTTCAAGTGTACAGTTACGCGATGACCTTTTGTCTATGTTAGTTGCTGGCCATGAAACGACGGGTTCGGTTTTGACTTGGACGGCGTATCTTCTAAGTAAGGTACCTTTACCATTTAGATGAGTCTTCTTCTGCAAGTAAATGAAGCTTGTATCTGATATTCATCTCTGTTTGATAGCTGATGCAGAAATAATATGTGAAACATGAATTTATATGGTGCATAAAGTCCTGAATATTTTTACCGAACTTTCTCTTGATTTGTACTTATATCAAATGCTGTATTTCTATCTACACCGCCCTCAAACCAGCGCCTTAAACCCTAAGTGACAGTTGGAATTGAAAAGAAACCCATTACTTACTTTGTTTTCTTAGTTTGTTTGTTTATTTATGTTGATTCAGGAGTCAAGCGCATTGTTGAAAGCTCAAGAAGAGGTTGATAGAGTTTTGCAGGGAAGATCTCCTTCTTATGAAGATGTAAAGGATCTAAAGTTCTTGACACGTTGCATAACCGAGTCGTTGCGTCTCTACCCACATCCTCCTGTATGTTTCAGTTCGTCCTTATTACAATACATATGACACTAATAAACAACAAAAAGTACTGTTTTTTTTTTTTTCGTTTTTTTTTTTGGTGAGCTTGTTGATGTGTGTGTTGGGGGGGTGGGGGGTTGGGGTTCGGGGTTCGGGGTTCGTACTCAAGACCTCAACTTGAGGTGGGTGCCGAATTACTGCTAGGCCAAGCCTAACAACCACAAGAATGAGTTCATTTAATGTCTCTCTGCCATGACCCACTTGTTTAATTCATGGTTTTGTTTTCCTCTCTATCTAGGTGTTGATAAGAAGAGCTCAAGTTGCTGACAAGCTACCTGGAAATTACAAGGTTAATGCCGGTCAAGATATTATGATATCAGTGTATAATATTCATCGTTCTTCAAAGGTATTCCCTTGTTGAGATGCTGAGAGTCATTAATTGCCGAATTTGGTGCCTTCAAGTTTAACAACTTTCCACCCTTGCAAGATTTGCGATGAACATGTTACAATTTATTCTAGTTTGGTTAGTTTATAATGAAGAGATGAAAACGAACAAAACAAAGAAGACAACGTCATTTTGTTCATTTTCATGCCCATTAAGAAAATTGTTCTTCGCAAATTTTTTTCCTTCAACTTCTACTTTTGGTTCTACAAGGTGTGGGAGAGAGCAGAAGAGTTTGTACCAGAAAGGTTTGACATGGAAGGTCCAGTGCCAAATGAATCAAATACAGATTTCAGGTATACATAGTTTATTCCTTGCCATAGATGCAGCAACAGATAATTATACTAATATGCTTCGTAATGCTTTCTAACTCTGGATTCTAATTAAGAAACTTATCTTCTTAGGTTCATTCCGTTCAGTGGAGGGCCTCGCAAATGTGTTGGCGATCAGTTCGCCCTGTTGGAGTCTATTGTTGCTCTAGCGATCTTTTTGCAGCACTTCACCTTCGAGCTCGTTCCAGATCAGAATATTGGCATGACTACCGGAGCTACAATACACACAACAAACGTAATGCTTTCCAATCCATACACAACTGTTTATTACATTACATTCCTTGCCCACAAAAACTAGATTACAACAGTTATCATGGGACAAAATCTAGTTAACTGAAAAAGGTTTACCATGTTTGCCTTCCTCATTTAGCTTTGGCATGAAAAGAATCTAACTACTCAGTCTGCTACACTTTGTTTGAAAAACGCGGGGGGTGAAGGGTTCAAGCTTCACACTATGTTTGGTAGGAAAGAAAAGTGAAAGGAAGACAAAAGGTGGAGAGATTTTGTGAGAGAAAATAGAAATGTAGGTTGTTTGGTAGTAGGGAAAAGATAAAGGAATAGAAAATAGAGTGGAAAATAATGCATGTGCGTCCCACCATTTTTACTCCCTCCACAAACGGAGAGATTTTAGGAGGGAAAACTTACAACACATAAAATAAGACATAATTACTTGTTGTATCCTTATTTTGAAGCTATATATTTATAAAGAGATTGGTAAAATAGTAATTACACAATTCATTTTTTCTCGTCCTATCATACCAAACAACCAAAAGGAAAGTTATTTTCTTTTCCATCACTCTCATTTTCTATCGCTTATATCTTTTCTCTCCATCCATTTCCATCACTCTCAGTGGACCTGAATATGGAATTATCACTAGGCTAAGCCTCGCAACTGTGAAACCCAACCGCAACAAACCTGTTTGTGGTCTTAGACATGAATTCTCTATTGTCATGAAATTTATTGGAATGTCAACTGACTGAGGATGAATATAAGCCGGTCTAACACTATGCTCTTGTTGCAGGGTTTGTACATGAAACTGAGCTCAAGGCCAACAAATCCTCAGTTGGTTCCTCCTCTCCATCTAGGTGAAACTGAGACAGAATTAGTATACCCCAAGTGTTGAAACAACATTAATTTTCTCAACTGAAAGCCGGAAAAAAAAAAAAAAAAAAGAAAAAAAAAAAAAAAAAAAAAAAAAAAAAAAAAAGAAAAGAAGTGAAAAGAAAGTAAGTTCTGGTAGTGTTCATTGCTCAATTTCATTTGCTTTATTGTTGTAATTCTTTTGATGGACAAGTTGACAAGTCTGTAACAGCATCTTACTCCTTATTCTTGCCAACGGATTAAGTTGACTAACACCACTTACCCTATTGCCCTGTTTGGAATAAGTTCAAGCGATTGAAATTCGTCCACAATGATATCTCTATACTAAATTAGATATCTTTGGCTCATTCTTTAATTTTAATTTTGTGTCTTTATTTTAAAAATGTATTAGTTCTTATGTTCATTTCTCTAAACATTACGTAGATTAACTTTGGTCTAGTTTGGGACCCGCCTGGATGTTACATATTCATTATCGTCCGTTTCTCTACTTTAGGGACGCGTTTGCCAATATTATTTACTAAAGTGTAAATAGCTACATAATTACTGATTTATGATACGTGAATTTGTTAAGATTGTATGAGTAAATTTGGTATTCATTCTATTAATAAGAAATTAATACCGAGGGCCGCCTCTGAGCTCAGCGAGAGCGCGGCGAAATCGACCAGAATGGAGTCCCAAGTGAAGCATGCCGTGTTGGTGAAAGTCATGGGACGTAACGGCTCAAGAGGACAGGTAAGTGAGAGTCAAGTTTCTCGATGACCGGAACTGGCTCATCATGAGGAATGTCAAGGGACCGGTGAGGGAAGGCGGCATTCTCACCTTGCTCGAGTCCGGGAGAGAGGCGAGGAGGTTGCGTTGATGGGTTTTTCCTGTTGATTGCAACCTTCTTTTCTCAGTTTTGTTTACTCGCATACTACTTTGGGTTGGTGAATTTAGGGGGAGGCCGTTATCAGTCCATGTCTTTTTAGTTTTATGTTTGGTATTATTAGCATGACAAACTTGAGGTTTTGAGACTATTAATGTGTGGAATGTATTAGAATTATCAATGGTGGAAAAGAACTCAACTTTAAGTTTATCAAAAAAAATAAATTAATACCAAGGGGTTTATGAATTGGCGTTCTCCGTTCACTTCACCGATTCGAGTTTTGAATTCGAGTTTTGCTACAGTAAAAAGCTCTCAGAAACAGTCATATCTAACTTTTTTGCTCCAGTAAAAAGTTCTCACATAAAGTCACATCTCAACTCGAATTAAAAATTTGAATCAGGGAACTAAACGGGCCTTAAAATTTATTCCTTATATCGGTGTTTTTTTTTTTTTTGGCTATTAAGTTGAGATCTCTTTCTGCTAACATGAAAAGCATGTAACAATTTGGGGAATCAAAAATCAAGATTCTCTACTTTTTTCTCGCAAAGGTTTAAAGATAAAAAATTACGCATAACTTGTAACACCCTGAAGAATTAATTAAGATAATTAAGATTATTAGTGTGCCTAATCTGGATTATTAATTGAGTTTAATTAATAAATGTTTCTGACACGTGTGAGTTTAAATAGTTTCAAGGTATTTAAATTATTTTCAGTAATTTATTTTAACCCAGAAGTGTGTATGGGCGCATTTCTGGACTGTTCTTTTAAAATATTGTACACATGCCATTTTCCTTTCCTTTTTCCTTTTCTTTTCTTTTTTCTTTTTCTTTTCTTTTCTTTTTCTCTTCCTTTCCCGTGCGTCTCTCTCCCTCACTTTCTCTCTCTCACCCTCCCGTGCTCTCTCTCACTCTCACTCTCTCTCTCTCTTTCTCTCTCTCATTTTGTCCCAAATCAAACGGATCTTGAACCAAGCAAAGATTTAAAGAAGTTTTCAACGTCAAGAGAAGGATTCAAGGTAAGATTACTGAAAGAACCTCTCTTGAATCT